AAAATCCCAGCATAGGGATCCCAGTACACAGGTCTCTAAGATTCTGATCCTATAAAATTTCTACAAATTGCCACCTTATTATTAGTAGTTATCCTTAGAAGTAATCCCCTTTGTCAAAATATGGAAGGAAGGAGTGGTGGGGGGAAGGTGTTTTTTTAAGATTGTTTTATTTCTCACTCTTTGGCTCTTATCCTGTTAGTAATAAATTTAAGTACTATCCCCACTTTGAGTCTGTTTTGCCCAGGAAGGTAATCAGTAACTGACCTCTCCCAGCTGTTATCCCAGCTCATGAATCCTTAGCTGTTGGGTTTTTTCCCCTCTCCTCTGTCCAGTGGCAGAGGGAGACTGAGAGAGTGGCTTTAGTGGGTACCTGGCATCCGGCCAAGGTTAACCCACTATACCAATTATGGCTTTTAAGTCTCCAGACTGATTACAGGTAGCCCAGTCAGCACTCCTACTACAAATGCCCCATCAGGACTAACAAGGTTTCCTTTAAAATATGACCCAGGTGTTCCATCAGTTCTGCTGGATCAGACTGTGACCTTGACACAACTCTCTCCAATATTTTCACTGAGATGTGCCCCAAAAGACTAACTGGCAAATAGTGACATCTCACCATTTACCAAACAGGAAGCAAGGCACCTACATTTCCAAATTTGTCTGGGTTAATAGCTTCATGCTTTTGGAAAAGTACCCATGCTTGACCTTAAAGAAAGTAAGCTACTTTTATACAAAGTCTAAATTACAGCATAAGCCAAAGCAATAATCAATAAATTATTTATTTAAAGAAACTAGTAAAATTCTTGATACTTCACAGAAAAATGTGGCATTTTTGTTTTTTTCTTCCTTACCCTTCTCTCTTTACTCAAGCAAAAATTCATTCAAAATCTGAAGGTACTGCTGATATAGGGGTCTGATCAGACAGAGGCATGCTTCAAGACTTGTATCAGTTGTTTTTGAATCAGTAATTGTTAGCTGAGATTGTTTTTGTGAGGTGAGCAATTAAATGTATCACAACCTCCTAGGACTTACAGTGAAGCTGTGCCAACGGCATTATCTGTGTTCCCACTCACTGTCTGTATTATACACATATGCTGTCCCTTGGTGAACTCTCCAGGAATAGTTCAATTGGTTTCCAAGTCACTCATCATAATTCACTTTCAAGCAGCTGTGTGCTAAAAAGCTTCCGCTGTTGTCATTCTGCATCTTTAACGGCACTGAAACCGTCAGGTGAAAATTGTATTCTCCTGATTTTGTATAAAGTAAAATGATGTTCTGAGCAGCAGGAGAATGAAGATGAAAAAAGACACATGCTAATGTTAATCATGTTAATTCAATGGCTTTTTTTCAATATACAGGGCTGTGCTTTAAGGGGAATAGGCTCTTTATTTCTCCCTTCTAGTGTATTAATTTTTGAAAAGGAGTAACTGCAAATAAATAAAAAAAAAATAACAGCAAAGAAACACAATTAGCCAAAATGGACTGAATCGTGAAAATTCTCCCTGCATAGATTTCCCATTGATTTTTTAATTGCTGTTGTTTCAAATCATTAGATTGTTGTAAATATGTTCTACAACTCAATATTCTTTAAGTTACTTGTGATCATTCACTTTCTTATCCTCATGGCACCCCTCTGAGATTATTCCCTATTCCGACAGGGCACTGAAGAGCAGAGGACTAAAGTGCTATATAGAATTATTACCGTACTATATAATTTAGATGTCTACTTTCTAGCTGAGGCTACACTGAAACTGTCACTAGGATCTATTTGATGGTTCCTAGAGAGCAATCTGACCATTAATCTGACCAAAACCAAGAGTCTCCATTAAAATGTGATGAAAACAAGATGAGAGCCTATTCTCATGCACAAACCAACACCCTAGATATAAAAACTTACACATGGAAAAAAAAAAAATCCCATCCTGAAGGATTCAGACAGAATTCAAGTATCTCTGAATGACAAATCCTAAGGAGTAATCCCAGCTATGCTGCTGCAAGCCCCTCAGGTTCCCAAGAAAAAGCCAGTAATGGGCCTGGTAGCCTTGTCTGTACATCCATACCCTGAGGAACCTCTGAAATGACACATATTTCACCACCCCATGTTTCAAGCTGTCTCCAGCCCAGCAGTCAGGCCGGCGCATCAGCGATGTTCTCGGCATAGGGCACATCTCTCAAAGCCAAGTAATGTCCAACATTCACGTGCCTCCAGACACTTGGGAGCAGAGGAAGCTTTTCACAGCGAGCTCTAAGCAGATTGGTGCCTATATACTGCCTGTGACCATCTGGTTCTGCCTCCACTCCCTGACAGTCTTGGCAGGTTGGTGTTGACAGATTATGCCCGTCATGCACCATTAATATTTGTCTCCTTTTGAAATGTTCTGCTGAGAGTTTAGCTAAAGACAAGGTAGTGGTCTCAAGGCAGAAAAATTGCTTTTCTTATCAAATTCAAAATTGGGGGTCTCTGCTCATTATTTCTGCAGAAACACAGATTCTTTAACTGAAATTAAAAAGCTTCTGCTATGCCCTGAAGTACTTTTCAGTATTAAGATTCCACTGCATGCTTTTAGGTATTTCTGTCAAACCACATACAGGGCTTCGTTCTTCTTGTATTCAGAAACAACAACAAACACGAATTGTCCTTATCTTCCCAAGACACCCATGAAGTAAAAAAACAATGTTTTGGGTTTTTCCTTTGGAAGTCAGACTTTGCAAGTACAGGCCAAGACCTTTCTCTTTCATTTCTAGGAATGAAGTACCCTCATGACTTTGATGACTGAAGCTCAAGCACAATAATGTCCAGAATTTCAGCATTATCTTGTTGCCTCACAAAATTCATACTTCGCATCATGCTCCAAAAGATCCAAACAACGTACTGGAGCAGGTAGACACCGGATACCATGATTCACACATGACATTTAGATAGGAAGACACCATCTACGCCAGCCAAGATAGGGGCACATCTGCTAAGCATTCCTGTAAATTCATCTGGATGCTCAGACTGTGCCGAAGGGTGTTTACAACATACACATTCATTTACTCGTGGGGATGCCAGAAATGAAAAGGGAATTTGTTTCCCTCAGCATGAACTTTGGGCAGGGGCAGAGAGTGTGCAGAATTTCCTCAGCATTCCTGACCAATGCACCCAGGGACATTTTAACCTACTTATGTCATCCACTTGGACGGAAGTCCTGAATTCTTCTGTATTCTTGACTACCTTTTCCTTGCCCTTCAGGAGCTCTTTTCCTCCTCTGGCCTCCACCCCTGATACCTTTCTTTAAAGAGATGGCACCCTCTCTACCTTTCTCTTGTTCCTGCTAGTCATCATCTTCTTCAGTCAACTCTTTGCTCAAGCCCTTATACCACATGGAAATACACACTTCCCAGTTTCTCCTGAACACAAAAAAATCCCACAATCTACAGCAGTTAGAAATGTCATCTAGCTAACACTTCTGGTCTACACACTGGTTGGGATCAACCATTGTTTCAGTTCTAGGAAGGATTTTGAACCAGTTATTTTCTTTCTTTTTGAATGCCTCTATTTTCCTGAGACACGGTTGTAATACAGAACTAATCTGCAATTACAAAATGAGCCAGCTTCTTGGTACCAGATGTGATTTCCTTGGCAATGGAAACAGATTTTAGGGGAGAAGTAGCAAGGTCCATGCAGCAGAAAATAACCACTAACTCTCACTAATACATAGTAAAAGCTATGTCCAAAGATCCAACAGTTGCCATTCTCTGTCCCTATCAATGTACGCAACTTTTAAAAACTGAACTCTGTGGTTGTTCTTTCCCTTAAAACACTATAAATATTTCTCAGATTTAACCAGGGAGACTGCATTAAATAACCAGTGTCATTTTGCATGCACTGTTTCAATTTCTCTGCCCTTCCTCAAGTATATAAAAAAATAATGGAAGAAGACACTTTGTATAGGGAAGAAAAACAAAAAAGTTTAAATTTTCACCTCCAAAGCACAGAGCAGTGACAGAATCGTTCCTCCTACTCCATGGCACTGGAAGGAAAATCTACTATTTTTTCTTTGAATATCACACTTTATAAGACTCTTTGAAAAGTTCACATTAGATTTTATTTTTGAATTAAACAGGCATTCTTTTAAACCAATTAAACTTGGCATTCTTTTAAAGATCACAATACATATCTAGCTGTATGAAGTAATCAAGGTTTCTTCTTCATACAGTACCCAGGGCCTGTCTGTTTTATACTGAATTAAGATGACTAGTGTCTCTCAGGTAACCCGTTGATCAAGTGAACACAGTTTTAAATGAGCCAGAACTGGTCAAGAATTTGCATCACACCTGGCATTTAGGTTAAAATGAACTTGTCTTTTAAAAAGTCAACATTTTTGCTATGTGGTTTCCAAACTAAGATTTTGAAACTTGCATTGAAGCTTGTTGAAATTTAAAGTAAAATGAGTATTAAAATGAAACTCCATGCAGAATATAAAATTATTTGGGTTTGGCCACACAAAATGTTTAACCAATCTTTTTGATAAAATAAATGGGTTGGGATTTCACTTGACTATTTTGGTGGTCAAAGCATTTTAATGCAGAAAAAACCAGCTAAATAGAAAACTAAACCAAAGTAAATTCTGTCACTCCTTTTTTTCACAAAGAGCAATTTCTGCTAGTATCTAGAGAGTGAGAAAGAGTCTTTGGAAAAACATTCAACCCTTGTGAAAGGATGTAAAAACAAACCAGTTTACTTACCTATCTACATATAGTGAAGGGAGCACTTCAAATCCAATTCATGTCTGGAAATGCTTTTCATACACACAGGCCTAAGTCTCAAACACCGAGCCAGAATCTTAAAGGAGAAAATCTAACTGGAAGAGATATGGAACACTGTTACTTGGTCACTCAACAACATTTTATTTGTGTGCATAAGGCATAGAAAAATGAAGAGTCACTTGTAACAGATACTGCACACTCAGAATAACATTCAACTGAATGGCATTCTGTGAAGGGACAGAAGAGGAAGGTTTGCAACACAAACATAGAAGTTGTTTTATTTCGAGCATATGATCTTTATTTAGACTGTTACATAGGAACTACTTCAGAGAATAAGATTTCTGAGTTGAATTTTTTTCTCTTTCCTCCTATGTCTGTTCCAAGCTTTGATGTTCGTACTTTAGTTCCCACACTCTACACAGGACAAAGAACTATTTATGTACAATACTCTGAAAGGCACCTCAATTGACATGACACCTTTATATTTATTTGTAGGATATCACTTGCACAAAGTGAAGTGAGAGTGGGGAGTACATAGTGAACACAAGTCATCAAGAATAATAATTATAAAAGAGGAAAAATAAAGCGTCTGGCATATGAAAGTTTGTTCATTACTTCTTAGTATATTTATAATCAACCAATTTCCTCTCACGTTTTTCAGCCCTGTTTATAAGACCTGTTTATCTTCCCAGAGTTTGTTTGTAAGACATACAATTCCGAGTAGCCACGCTTAAAGGAATTTTATAAACTATTTTATCCTGTGGCATGGTAATTTCCCTTTGCAGATAGCCACTGGACACAAAAATTGTTTCTTTGCCAGGACAACACTTCCAGTTCTTGATAAGGATGATTTTGACTAGCTTCCAGGAAAAGCTGCCACTTGGTTACATCCACATTCCGTTCCTTTGCCAGTGATCTATCCAAGTCAAGGGTTCACAGATGAAAACCTTGAATGTTCTGCACAAAACCTCGAGAGATATCATCTCCTCCGCAGTCAGTGTCACCCTGTGAGTACATACATTTACATACAGTTTTGCAAAAATTAGTTTACCAGCCTGAAGTTAGTTAGGAAACTAACTTTACCCTTTTTGCAGATAAGGGTTCTATTTTCCTGGCGACTCTCCTGTTTCTGAGAGCTGCCTGTGAATTCCATGATAACGAGGCCCAATGGAAGCAGAATTTTTCACCTGCAACACCCATGGCTGAGCTAGAAGCAGTAACCTTCAGCAGCAGGCAGTTCTTTGTTCACAGGAACATCGTCTCTGCCTCAGCATCTCACAGGTTTCGTTTCAGCAGATCTGAAATCTTTTGAGTTTCTGTCTTTGTCCTCCTCTCTTAGCATATTTGGAAGAAGGAAATGGGGAAAAAGAAAGCCCAGAGGAAGAACTTACACCAGGATATCACTTCTCTTGCTGCACCATACTACCAGTGTTATCATGGCACATGTCAACATGACTGGGATCAAGATCAGAGTTATGAGAATTTCATCTGGTGGATCTTCCCAGTGAACCTTCTCTGAAGAACAGTTTGAAAAGAACTGTTTATGAATCCCAGTGATAAAGCCTTCTGCAAGGGGGTTTGGCCAAAAGCAGCTTGCGTTGTTGGCTTCACGTTCTGTGCACTGGGTAAAGTTGTCGTAATACCTGGAAGAAGAAGAAAATTAGGAGAAGTTTAAATAGAATATATACGCATATTACACTTAAGAGAAAGGTTCAAACAAAGTGCACCATAAAATATCTCTAAGAATGTGTTTGTCATGGAGATACTCTGCTGGAAGACCTTCAGTGGAAGCTGTGGGTACCAAATAAAATACAGTGAAGCCAGAAGAACTGGCTCACATGTACTAATACAGCATGTGAAATTCTGAGATCCTGGATGGACAGTGGTCAAAACCTTTTCTTTTGGGTGCCGGTACTACAGCCAGGGCCTCCTAATGCCACTTAGGTAGAAGCAGAACTCCCTGACTAGAGACATCTACACACAACTGTGCCAAGAACAGAAGATTTTGAACAAACTATGGATAATTCAGGCCTCAGCTGCTCTTGGACATGATGTTGTGCTGAAAATTGTGATGTGACACTAGGACCAAGCTACAGCATTCACTATTGCGTAAAAACTTTGGTTCTGTTTCACCCTGAGGCAGTAAGAAGATAATGGGAAAATAAACACACAGAAAGTTAGCTTTTCAAAAACTTTCTCTTCTTCCCAACTGCAGCAAATGCCCAGAAGGAAAAAAAAAATACATTTTTTCTAATTATAAGTATGCATCGCTTATGAAAGACTGGGACCTAACACTTGATTTCAACACAGCATGGGAAATTTACCTGTCCAGCAATAACATATTTATGAGAATTGGCTACCCCTCAGGAAAAAAATAGGAAACAATAAGCCTAAATGAGTAATCACATGGGTTTTGTGGTGCTATTGTAAGTCAAAGAAATTCAGGAAGCGAATGGATACGGGGGAGGGGATCAGAAAACAAAGAAAACTGAGACTGTCTGGTCAGTACACGAATAGGGCAAGAAACAAGGAAGCTGAATTATGGTCTGCTGCATTTCTTTCAGTCCTGTGTGACTCCATAAACTCACTTCAAAGGGAAATTAAAAATAGAGAGGGCAAGAAACCACATGGCATCTCAAGGGACAGCATCCTGTACTATTATCTGAAGACCCTCCCCTCCCTTACAGTACATGTAAATATGGTAACCCCTGACAAATGACTCATTCTGACATTAAGTCCTACAGGGGATTAATGTTGACTCAATCCTTTGCTGTAAAGTAGTGGAAGAGAGACATTCAGTGTCTGGGTCAAGACTGAAGTCTATTGTCTATCGCCTGTATATCAGGTGAAACGTCTGCCTGGCCATGCTACAAGCACGTAGTTTGAGAATACAAGCTGCCAAGCATCTAAATTCTCAGGGCTGTGTTCACAGAAGAAGAAAAACCCTCACAGAAAGGACCTTCTGCAAGCTCCTTGCAGTTGTCATTCTCAGGGAGTTTGAGCTGATGCCACTTCGCCCATAAGCAAATACACTGGACGATCTAACGAGCCCAGACTCTGGCAAGGAAGCTTTTGTGACATCAGCAGCCATCGGAAAGCATCAGGAAATGATCTAAATATAAAGTACAAATATTAGCTGTTTGCTATTTTAGCAGTCTCATTCTTCTGTGTGACCTGGTAGCATCCATTCTTTATGTCCTTGGGCGAAATTAGACACTGAAGATGTCTAAACGGAAAGATTTAATGGTTCAAAATCTTTCTTTTGTTATCATTTTTCCTCTGCGTGTAAAATCCTGTAGAAAATTCACTGTTCTTACAAGAATTCTCTACATTTTTTTCATAAATGTTAGATGGTGCGAACAAAAATATTTCCCACTGATTTTTCATTTCAAGTACAACCTAGCTAGAAAAACCTGGTTACATGTTGACGAAAGGGCAGATAAAAAATAACTTGGGGAATATATTGCATTTGAAAGACTAAATCCCCAAGAGCCAAAATGGAATAAAAATGTTATCTTGGTAGTTTGAATTCCTTACCATTTTCCCTTAAATCCCCATCTGTGGGGGGAAAAAAAAAGAAGGGGGAAAAAAAAATCCACCTGCTCTATAATTGTTTGTTCACACAATTGTCAGAACGTAGATAAGGGAAAATCTCATTTATTTGAGAACTGCATGTCTGTCAGTAAAGCTGAATTCTCTTAAATGTTTATATAATTTAGTAATTTAGACTTTCTGCACTGCAGTAGAAACTTCATGTAAAAAAATATATAAATCCTCTACATGGTACTGTGGAAGAGGTGCCTCAGAAGGGAGCAACTGCATCCTCATTATTCAAACATGGGTGTTTTGTAGCTATCAACTGGTTTGCAAGTTTTGGGGCTTTTTTAAAGGGGGAGGTGGGGTTAATGGATATTTAATTCCAATTTGATTCTCCTATGCTTAATTCTTTCATGCCTTATGTAATTCTCTCTATTTGAATGGTAAAGGTTGAAGTAGCCAACCTTTCATTCTGTATAATAAAAAGGCTATCATAAAAACAGCCTGGTCTTTGAATGGAGATATTTCAACAGAAATGCCTAAAAGTTACACAATTTTTGAAAGGAAAGAACAAGAAATTACAGTTTTTACTTATTCCCAGAACCAGTAATTGGAGAGCACGCTGGAGCTCAAGCTCCTTCGCCTCCCGGATTATAAGGTGATGTGGGAAGGTTGTTTTTCTTTGTGCTGAGTCACATATTCCTCTCTTTCAGGCTAGCTACAAGGACCCTAGTTAGTACTCAGAAAAGGTATTACACTGTGAGCCAGGCCACAAGCTTTGCGGGGAATGGGCTGAAAAATTACTGTGAGTTTCAGCTCACAAGTAGCTCAATAC